AAATCACCTCTTTTTCATAGTTGATTACCGGTTCACGTAAATGCAATAATTTCAATTCAGATCTTATATGTATAGATGAATATCTATTGTAAATTCAATCATGATTATATAGTATTTGGTGTCGTTGCAAGACAACTTATAAGTTTTTAAATTTTGAATTCGTCTTTATGTGTCAGTATTCACCAAGACACTACCATATATCATTGTTTAAGTTATAAATATAGTTAGTGACTACAACAAAAGAGACATTTAATGACAATAGATTTCCTTTTTAATGTCTGTAATATTGATTTGCAAGAATACTTAGCGGTAATTAAGTTATCGTTGAAGTTTGGACCCCACTATATTATGTTTTAATTTAATTATGAAGTATTATTCATGATGTTTACGTGATTGACGTTGAACACTTAAACTCCATCCATAGTTTTCTTCTTTTCTTGTCTTTGTTTCTTTAATTAATAATTAATTAATTTGTGTTTTTCTTTTCCATAGCAAGAGATCTTTTCGAATCTTACTAACAACTCCAAAGAAAGAGAACAGTAAAAAGTTAATTAGATAGCTAAGTCTCACTTAAAATAAACAAAATATTACTCAACTTTTTAATAAAATTTATTAATGATGTTATATTCATGAATGTAATTTCAATCAAAACCACTTACAAAGACTTCACCACAACTCAAAATATGGTCCACCATGTCTCCTTATAGACCCCCACTTTCAAATTTCCCAAATATGGGACTTTGATTCACCATGCATTATATGTTTATTTTAATATAATTATAATAATAATAATAATAATATGATAATAACATATTCAGTGTAATCGTAATCTTATAAAATGGGATTTGGAAAAAGATAAAATATATGCAGATCTTATTTTTATCTTTGTATGATATAGATGTTGTCTCGGATAAATCTCCGTCTCAAAAGAAAAGTATATGAAGCATGATAGCAAGAAAATATGACAAGAAATAGTAATATACAAAGCAGATGAGGATATTTTTTTTAACAAATAATAGTAATACACATCGAAGAAAAAGAAACTACTCGATTACGATGAGTGAATAAAGATTATATTCTTTAATTTCCACCCATAGATTCTTGTGATATATAGTTCATAATCATCAATCTTAACCTATTTGGTAATTATGATATCTATCCTCAAAAACAAAATATTCCAAAAGTCAACATAACCATGACTTAATTTAATTATTACTTTATTGGTTAAAAATAAATTAATTTGGGGTTTGTGGATGTGGGCAAAGGAGGCAAGAATTCATGCATCATAAATATATATATGTAGGGTTAATATTATAATTATTATTATATAATATAGTACATTAATGATGACTATAGGGTTTGTTAAATTAACCTGAAATTATGGTATCTAGATTTAGGAGTTAGACTTAGATTAGGTCCTATAATGAAAGCTTATAGGAGAATATATATTTTTTCCTCAACACTAAACCTAACTGCCTATAAAGTATAAAAAATGATTAGTTTTTAATCATATATGTTGATCCATTTAGAGATTTTTACTTTTGTTTCTTATCTTGTCTCTAGTGGAAGGTTAGAAAATATACACTCAAGGAAGCAAAAGATTGGGCCACAATATTTCCTCCTATATGGGGCTCAAGAAGTTGGTCAGATTTCTCGATCATAACTTTTGAGTTCGAACTCTGAGCATGAACAAAATTAGGAGTTTAAATATGAGATTGATGACTTTTTTTCCAGATAATATATTTGTATTAAGAATTATCTTGTTGTTAGAAATCGAAGTCATCATTCTGAAGTTCAGAATCATTAATGTTGAAATTTTGACTCTGTCTCTAGCTCTGAAAATGGAGAAATCAATGTTAATTGAGGAGAATTATTCCCTTTAATAAGCTTTACATACGCGATACAATTTTTTGGTTTTTCACTCCCTGTTTGATGTCTGTATTAGAGCCTTGACTAATCCAAATTGCGCATTGTATGGCCCATTACGAGAGTGGTGCTCCCAACTAAATTTTCTTCATACTCAGGACTCGAATTTGAAACCTCTAATTAAAGGTGAACCAGTCCCACCACTACACCATAACCATGTAGTGCGATATAAATTTAAATCAATCACACTAATGAATATTAAATACTAGAAGGTTATTAATTTTTTGAAAAATGAATTTTCAATTGAATGGAGAGGAGACGCACTCAAAAATGATTATGAAACTTAAAGCTAGTAATTAGTTAGTGGTTGAGACTTTGCAAATGTGGCAAAATAACCACAACACCTTTTTTTTTCGTTTTCTGCATATATAGATCTAAATAGACGAAATTAATTAATGAAAATAAAATTCTTATTCAATATCTACTAATCCAAATTTACGTCGCATAAAATTTTTCCGATACTTATTAATCTGATTAATTCGAATTCGCCTGCATAGGACCCACTAAAGAATAATGTTTTCTAACTATATACTAATTTAACGAATTATGAACTAATTATGTCCTCTGAATAATTTGATTCTAAAGTTATATATATATTGGTGGTCCAGTATTATACAGTCTGTGTCCTTATTATGAACCATTTTGGCAACTTTATATGATTAACGTGGGGCTAATGTGTTTTTAACGGGCAAAGTCAAAATTTTCATTAAAGTATATATTAAAATATAAAAAAATAAATACATAAAACAGTCAGGAGTAACTTTAATATTATAAATATAAATAAAAAATAATTATTTTGATCATGTATATATAGTATTATATTATTTTCGACGTTGATTGTCCATTTTTATAATTAGGGGTGAAGTTTTGAAAATTCACACCTTTCATTATTATAAACTTGTAGAAAAGTTGTAAGAAGAAAGGAAAAAGGAAATTTTTTTTTCCCTTAACTTCACGTCTTTAATAACCAGAAGATAGAAAATTAAAGATTTAAAATTAGTCCAACAAAATCTACAACAAAAATAATCCTAATATTTATATAACCTACACAAACTATATATATACTTATTATTCATTCAATATATACTAATGACGACTACAATTTCAAAAATATATATAATGAAATAACCTTTTATATTCATTTACACCCAATTTTCAAAAATCATAAATTTGTAATGACAAAGATCGTTTCGTAGGTAGTAAAGAAGCAATTTTATTCATGTATTAATTTTTATATGAATTATACAATATTTAGTAGATAGCTAGTTAGAAAATAAGTTATTCATGTATTATAAAGTTAATACGATATTTGGTTTGCAACTTAAAAACTTGAATAATTAACATATACATATATATAAATTATGAGTAAATTAACATATTATATTATACAAGACGAAAGATAAAATAACTACTACACCTACCTATACACTTCTAACCAGCTGTCAAACGATCCAATTTTGCATGCACATGGCTAGTAGAATAATGTTAGGAAGAATCACATGTGGATGTGCCTCACACTGTTCAAACAAACACATAGTTTTTATATAAGAATTTAGGAACCAAGAAGAATGTAACATTAATTAGCCATGTTTGGGTCCTACATATACTGCAATTTTTTGCTTCTTGGATCCACAACTAATGAATAACTAAAATATCCAATTTGAACCTAGATTGACTCGATTTTAAAATGTGTCACGAGACCTAAAATCATGTTTTCTTATATATCAACATGTCTACTGTGTTTTGTTGATATATGTTTCGCTCTATGATGTTGCAAGTTTATACTTTGAATGTCACACACTCGGTATTTATATTAAATTAATTAATGTAATACTATATATAGCTCTGTATATGGTGCTTTTTTTTTCTTCTCTTTTGAAGGTTTTTTGCATCAAGTCTCCCTTTTTGTATTTTTTTAATAACGAAGGTAGAAGTCAAAGTCAAACTCCCCAAACTCAGGTATACCTTAATTGTTTGGAAATTATATATATAATTAATATAAGACATATATATCGTGAATATAAATATTTTTACTTAAAAATATATTAAAATATAAAGAAATAAATACATAAAATAGTCAAGGGAAACTTCAATATTTATAAAATTTGTTAGTTAATTTTGATTAAGTAATATGTATTTTCAGTTTAATTATAATAATTAGGTTTAAATTATTTGATTTATCATAAATATCAAGTGTGAATAAATATGTTTGTAGAATGTTGTAGTATTCTTGTCTAATCAACTTTGGCAAGCCCTCTTGTTAAACAAAGAGTTCCTTTTTTCTTCCTAATGGTTTTCCATCATCATAAAACATACAAATTAATTAAAACACTTTTAATCAAGGGAGACCTTAATCATGCTAATTAACTTTCTTTGTTGTTGATTGAAAGTGATGGCAATATTATTTTTCAAAGATCTCCCAAATCTTAAATATGGTCCACCAACTAGTGTTTATCAAGATTAATCAACCAATTAGAAGTTATTATATTGATTTTTAAACATGAAATTATATTATATTTGTGACATATCCCATCATAATGTACAAAATAAATATAATTAAATCATTAACTTTCTAGTCATCTTATAACTTCCTTTTTGGAGCCATTACTTTAGAAGGATCCTAAAAGAGATTTAAAGATAATATCCCAATAATTCTGACTTAATTTTCAAGTTGTTATCTCCTTTTTTGAAAATTATATTTAATTATAATTAAGGTAATGGCAATCCCATCAAAACCTTTTTGATTTTAAAATAACAATTAATAATACTAATTAGGAAAACCCGTGAATTAGGAGGGGATTAGCAAGAAGACACATGGTCACTCATGCAATAAAACAAATTTAATTTGCTATTGTGTTATATTAAAAAAAAAAAGTTGACACTTAAATACATGTCATGCAAAAACAACTAACTTGGTTCGGTGAATCAAGATTTAATCAGTGGCGAAATTAAGATTTTTTTCTGATCTGTGCTAAATACGAAAAGTAAATACAGAAAGAAATCAAATATATTTAACAACTATCATATAAAAAACAAAAATAAAGAAGACAAAAATGAAATAAAATCAGCAAATGCACATAATGAAATTTTTTTTCTTTGATATATTGAAAAACTAAATAAATAATTTGATCATGTACAAGATCCCATTTTTAGGATAAATTATAATTCTACTCTCCTATAGATTATATCCAAGCCAAGCCGTGAGCCGACATAAATTCACAAATAGACACTTTTCAGTTCTTATAATTGAAATTCGAAAATTTCACTTGTGAGATTTGAAATCTTGGCTAATTTTCAAAGACATAGTTGAAATGTCTTGAAATTTCAACGGTGAAATTTGAAATTTTATGACGATAACTATTTTTCAAAGGTAGAAAAAACGAGTGGCCAGTAAACGATATTTCTATGACCCGGCTGGCGCAAGGCTTAGATGTAGATCCAATCCAAACGGGTCATCACAATTGGGCCCAAAATCCGGTCTAGAGAAACTACTCAATGATGGCCCATTATTTCCATCAACTCTACCACCATGGGCCTTAACATGTTGAGGCCCAACACTTGTTAAGTTGGGCTCCGCTATACCGCCAATATAGTGAAAGTTCGTTACACCTCTCCCTCCATGTGACACATGGAAGGATGGTGGAGCGCGTGGTACATAAACCCACGATGGATTTGACCCCGCCGGGTACACCACAGTACCCGGCGGAGTGAGTAGGTGAGATGGCGGAGCGAACGCGGAGATAATCGGGTTCCTCATATAAGCATTTCTACTAGCTTGAATTTGGGCACGTTTCAATTGTTGCCTTTCTTTTTTGTGAGCATTTTGATGTCCACCTAAAGCTTGTGAATTTGCAAATTCCCTAGAACAATATTGACACTCATATTTCCGGCCATCGATCGCCGGAAACTCACCGGATTCCGGTGACCCCGATGACGTTTTTGTAGACTCAACCTCTTGTTCCTGATCTTCTATAACGTTGAAACCAAATAATTTTAATCGTCCACTAGTATTAGAACCTGCGCGATATTCCAATTCCGCCATATAGATGTTTCTCCTTAAATATGTATGTGTGTGACTATAAGTGTATATGTGAAATTAATGAAGGAGAAGGTGAGACAAATAAAAATGTAAGAGAATTTTGAAACAAATGAGAAGGCGATAGGGAAATGAATGCATGTATAAGTTATATTATATAATACAAAGTTTGGAAGGGTTTTAATATTTTAATTTAGCAAAGAGAATATTTTATTATAAAGTAAGAGAGAGAAAAATAGTTTGTTGCGGACATCACAAGGAGAAGTTTAGGAACATCAACAAGTTATAGAGTGACTAAATTGGGACCCATTCGTAAAATATTTATGCGTACTCGATATTTTATATTTTGAACTTTTTTGTATTTGTGTAAATATTAAGTATGTAAATGCATGCATGTGATACTCATGATGGAAGACAAATCGATGAGGATGGGTCAAGAGAAGGACGGGCAAGTGTCAAGCTTTTGAAAATCGAAGTATATGGTATTTTAGACGAATTACACATCAAAATTAGAGATAGTGAAAGTGTCAATTTGTTTGTTTGTTTTTGTTTACTTGAGGTTTTAAATTTTGTCTTGTTTCAATTGAACTATTGAGTATAGTGGAGTGAATTTGATTCATGTGAAAGTAGTAGGGTTGTTGAACTGTCAAATGATTGTTATTTAGTTTAGGTCATTGTTTTTTTAGTAGCGTAAATTTTTATGTCCTCATTGCACTTTGTAGATTTCGAACAATAATAACAATAACATATTCAGTAAATAAATTCTAAAGAAAATACTGTATATACAAATCTTACAGAGAAGTGATTATATGACAGATCCGCAACTCAAGAAAAACAAATGAAAGAACTTTGTAGCTTTTGTTTACCAAAATCATATGATGAAAGATCAGAAGAACATATACTATGAGTACTGGATGCAGTGGTAGAATTGTTCCACCCTTAATTAGAGTTTCGGATTTGAGTTATGTATAAAGAAAATTCTATTGAAAATATCACTCTCAAATGTACTGCAGTGCATGATTCAAATTTAATCGAAGCTTCAATATAAACTTCGAACACCGAATAAAAAAATACTAAAACCATGATCATTGATTAGGGGACAAGATATCACATGAGGATTCTTGTAAAAGTTGTCTAAACTAGTACCTAACAGAAATGACCGTGCCTTTCATGGAATTACTTCAAAATTGAGATGTCTAAAATTAAATTATAATTAGAACTTTAATTGTCTCAATTTACCTATTATATTTTATTCTTCTTTTTATAAGTACGAGTAGATATTACCTGATTTGAAGTTTATAAATTTAAATTTTTAATATATTATTGAGTTCTAAATACATATTAATAAATCGAAAGCTTTAGGTTGGTTGAACTCGTAAACTATATTTTTGCACTATATCTATTTTTAGATCTGTGAATTTGCATGTCTACTTTTTTTTTTTAAGTATACAGTTTTATTTATTTATTGCGTGAAATAACTCACGATATTGATCTAACTTATTGATACGTAAAAAAAAAATTAAACTGTACTTTAATTATTTTAAGATGTCATCTAATAACTTATGTGTTTTCTTACTATTTGATAAATATATAATAGATGACGAACCTCTCGATAAATTTTATCTATACAAGTATTTATAGTCTATGATATGGTCCCTTAAAAAGTTAAAATATTATATGTCAAATATTTGTATCTTAAAATTGTATTAAATTCATTTTATTCCAAAAATGTCCTTGGATTTTTCTCTTTCATTTGAACAGCTGTATTAGCTTAATCACAGGAGCCGACACAGACCAAACCAATAAGAAATAAAATTAATGTAAAAAAGTCAAAAATAAAGTAATAATTTCATGCATGTAATGTACATCCTAATAAAAATAAATTTTAGCATCAATAAATATATACACATTGATAAAAATTATTATTACAACTTTTACAGATATTAGTCAATTATTATTAGATTCAATATCACTTTAAACTTTAACGATATTTACAAAAAGTGTTAACTAAATACAGCTAAACATTATTTTTGATACCGTACGTATAGATCAACATAGATTATGGGTCTTGGTTCGAATTCTGCATATTACAAAAAAAAAATCATATTAAAAACCTCGCCTTTAAAAAATTAATATTGCAATATACGAATATGTCAATAATTATCCAACGGTTACATAGGAACAGTATCTAACCTTAGATTCATGCACATCTATGCTTATTTATTGATCAAATGTAATCACACCTTTTCTCTATGGCCCACGTGTCTCCCTCATACTAATACAACTTATCTAATATAATCGTACTGTTTGAATCAGTAACGAATTCGATAAATTAAATATTCTCAATATATATATATATATATATATATACTAAAAATTTGATAAATATTGCATCTCTAATCATAATCTTAAAAGTATAATGAATTTAGTATTCCAATTTTTTTTTCTTTACCTCGTTTTTAGTGTATTCATCTTTTTTTGTTTTCTTGATAATTTGAAGGAGCGTTAAACATTCCAACACCTCTTATTTTAATAAAAAAAATTGCTAAAAGTATAGTCCACAAATTATTTGGCTTAATAGATGAGTAATGCTCTTTTTTGCAAGAGTCAAGAACTAGAAATATTTTCAAACATTCAATAAGTTGAAGAAGTCATAACTCATAAGTTGCAAATAGAAAATTGAAATCAATCTTCCTTATGGGATGATGATTAGTCAATATGTGGAAAATTTACAAAAATAATTACACTAACATTTTAAATTTTATAATTTGGTGGTTGATATTTGTATTGAAGTTCACATGTATCTGAATCCCAAAACAATTTTCTTCTTACTGATTCGAACTTAAGATGTCAAAATGTGGTTATGGTTCAATACAACCATTGTCCCTTTTTACTTGTTATTTTTAACAAATCAAGAAAAGACAATATTTTTTTTACCTATTATACCCTCGATTTATTTTGAGAGTTAACCTTTTTGAAAAAGGTAGAGCCTCTTTAATGAGTAAATTAATTTTGAAATTCTATCAATTAATAGGGGTAAAATGGTAAGCTTACTAGATCAATTATTATTTTCTTAATAGGTATACCAAGTCAAAAACCGAACAAGTAAATAGAGACAGAGATATACGCACATTATATTTAGTTTGAGCATGTACTCTGTATTTATATTAAATCAATAACAAAAAATATATGTTTTTCTATAAATGACATGTGGACTCCCTCTATTTTTCACATGTAAGGTGAAAACAGAAAATTACTTAATTTAATATTAAAATCAAGTGAGAATAAGTATTTATCGTATAATATTCCCAAGGGCACTATGAAATATAAAAATAAAATGAACTAATAATTCAGGTGTTACAACTTCAAGTTGGGACCCCACATTACGTGTTGATGATGAATCATAATATTAGGAATTTTGCGTGATTGACGATGAAATCCATATATTATATAGTTTTTATTTGTCTTTTTTTTATTACTATTATTATTTATTTTATTATTTTGTGATTTTTTTCGATGGCAAGAGATCTCTACGAATCTTACTAACTACAAGACTAGTAGACTTGAGAGATAGAAAGAGAAAAAAGTTAATTAATTACAACCTACACTTAAAATAGACCAAATATTCTTCAACTTTCTTTTGATATACTAATGTTTATATATTCGTAAAATGTTCAATCAAAAGCTCTTACAAGTTACAAAGTCTTCACCACAACTCCAAATATGTCCCACCATGTCTCCTTACCCCATCCCCCAACTTCCCACCCTCAGTGGAGGACTCAAAATTTTCATTCAGAGGGTTCGAAAATAAAAGTATAAACGTGTATATAAGCCAGCAAAACAAAATTTCAGGAAAGTAGTAGTATATAGTTTTAGTGGCGGATCATTGAATTTTTTTGGATTTAAAACCACACTTTTCGCATGTTTTATAAAATAAAAAACTAAAAAAAAAAAGTGAAAAACGGAACTGAAACTAAAAAATAAAAAAATAAAACGCTAAAGCAGGGATTCAAACCCTCAACATGAAGCTTAATTTCAAGGGGACCAGCTGCCGCTGGGCTATTAGTTTCTCCTTGTCATTGAGGGGGTTCAAAATATATATATCCACATAAATATAGAAGATTACCTTATATATATCGTGCAATTTTTTTCCGAAGGGGTTCGGGTGAACCCCATGGAACTCACGTGGATCCGCCCCTGCCCACCCTAGCCCCGCAAAGTCGAGAATTTATTGGAAAACAATTTAATTCTCTACTCATAAAAATAAGAGTAACGTACATGTATATTTTATCCTTTCCAGACCTCAGCTATAAGCCTATAGAATTGATATATATACCTGTATAATTTTATAGATGAAGTCTGAAAAAAGATGAAATATACACATATCTTACTTATTTTTATGAATAGAGAAATTGTTTTCAATCTATACGAGTTCGACATAATTTAGTAATTTTAATTTAAATTATTTATTGATATTTAAAAAATATATTAAGTAGGCGTTTGAATATTAAAAATGTGATATTTGGAAAGAGTTGTGTTTGAACATTTATTTGAAACTCATCTTTTATATATATATATATATATATATATAAATGTTAGAGAAAAACAATCCAATGTGTAATCAAATGTTGTTTTGATATAATCCTTTTGAAAAATATTGAGAAAAAATATGAAATTCGAAACTCAGTGCTAACTAGCATTTGACATTATTATCCTAAAATTCAGAAACCATAAAGTTCATATTCTAGACTCGCAATGCCTCACTTTCAAATTTTCTCTCAACACAATTTAGACTTTAATATTCCATGCATAATGTGTTGATTTTAATATTTGAAATTATATTTTGAATCATTGAATGAAAGCTTAGCTTATACATTCTTTTGGACCGTTAGATTCTAATCATAACTAACCATAATTAGTCTGTATTACTACTAAATTAATGAAATGGCCATTTTAAAGAGACAATAAGGATATGATTTGATATCCATAGGCTTTAGACATGCATTTCCCCTAGTAATAAACAACTTTAATCACTACAGGAAAAATGTGAATTACATGGGAATTTTTCTAGGGATTAGTATGAAAATCCGCAGGAAAATCCTCATGTAATTCACTTTT